TGAGATGCCCATTGGTACGGGGTCTCTAAGTCGAATACCGGCTAAGTTATACTTCGTCAAAAATAATTACTCGTTTAATGGGTCCCCCCACTCGGCCCGACGGTCGCGGGGTAATCGATTTATAAGACGTTATTATCACGTCAAAAAATTGAAAAACACGGGTTTTCTTTTAATAATAATAATAATGTTCGAAAATATTCGTCGATAAGGAAAAGGGAGATAAGCGAGCGGAATTTATATTTTATAGCGAACGCGCGGGAAGTATTGTGATTGGTCGTCATGGAAGAAACGCGGAGTGCCGTGAGCGCTCCCCGCGGATCTTATACGCATTATTAGCGTTTTATTATATAAGATTATAAATCTATACATTTGTTGTACTATACTGCACATGTATAATATATTAATATTAATATTATTTCTATCATTAATTATTTGGAAAATGATATCTAAATTTAGCTATAGTACAAAGTAAATCGTTATCGATACGACGAATTAGTAATATTTTGACGATACTCGAGGACTGTAAGAGTAATGAGTAACCTAACCATAATTATAATTATAAATATTTATTATCTTTATAGTTATTGTTTTTCTGTTCTTTGTTTGGAAAAGCTTTCCGCGTATTGTCGTATGACCATATTATAGAAGCGGCAAGAGCTATATTCTTAAAATATTTATTTGATTATCTAGTATTATATGTTCGACATTTGAGTATTTGACTGCAGTCCGCTTTGCCCCTTAGATTATTTTTTCAACAATTTCTGCATAATATCATAAAAGTAAGTTTTCATTTTATGAAATTATTATTACAATTCAGTTTAGATACAGTATAGCAGTATTAAATAATAATATTTACCTACTGCTTGCGTATCTAGTGTATCAGGATTAGTTTTAACATATTTTATTGTCTACCACCGCGTACTTAGATATTAAACAATTTATTATATCATTCAAACATTTTGATGATTTTATTTATTTTTAATTGATGTTTTGTGATTATTAAAATAAATATAAATTAATAAAATAATAAGTCCCCCACGAATTTATTAAATTATAATTTTCAACACATATATATTATTTTATTATTTGTAAATAATTTTTTGTTAATACATTTTAAAAAAAAAAAAAAAAAGGGATATGAATAATCTGATATTATTATTTTTAATGTTTAAAATTCAAATAAAAATAGCATTAATTTAAAAAAAGCTAGAATTTTGCCCTTTATTACCTATGTCCAGGGCCCTGCAATACCCAGCGACGGCACTGACAATGATGATAGGTATAAGGGTATAGATATATTTTTTTTAAGTCCGGGAGAAAATTTAATATTTTTTACGTACCTACCTATTTAGTGTATGATAATATTGTTGTATATATAACGAAATTATAAAATATTAAAATAACATACGAAGCAGAAAGTCAATCAAACCGAGTCAGCAAAATATCCACGACTACTAAGGCGACGTCTGCGACGGGAGCGGGGCTGTTGTTTTGTTTGTTTCGATTATTGTAGTAGCCAACGAGCTGCAGTATTTTTACGTTTCTTTTTATTATTTGTTTTTGATATATTTTATTATATTTAATTCTTTTTTTTAAAAACCAAGTGTCACTGTTTTTCTTTACTCCTTTTTTTAGAATATTTTATCTTACGAGTTGATACAGAGACGTTGTGGTGATAACACTTTTAAAAACAGGTAGTAAGACACTGTGGTACTTACTTTCTCGTCCAGTACTCGTTATCGTGGTCAGTCGAGAAAGAGTAAGACTTTGTCTAGGTAAAAGATACCTCACCCTCGAACATCCAGTACTCGTTATCGTGGTCAGTTGTTCGGGAGTAAAATAACCTTTGAGTTGTATAGTGTAAATCCTACTGGACTTTTATTTAATTATCCTTTTGCGCAGTACTCGTTATCGTGGTCACCAAAAGGAGAAATTAAATTAAACTCATACAGCAGGTGTCGATAATTTACTCGTTCGACGGTTAGAGAATCGGAAACCGAAATATATCTGTTATATACGTCAAGCCTTTGCGTGGCGTATACGACAATATATATATCTACCCAAAATATTTATGTTTGCCTATAACAACTACCTATACCTACATCATTGCAGTTAATGATTATAAATTAGATAGGAAGGTATAGATGTATTAAGTATAAAACCTGTATAAAAATCGATTTAAGAAATAATAATCGTGATTTAAAATAGCTAAAAAACATTTGTATGTTCACAGTCTATTTTTTTTTCACCACGGTAATTTCACAACGTTCAATGCAGGATGTCCCGGTTGAACACAATTATTTTACCGCGGTGAAAATCACGGGGAGATTTCACACTCGTTGTCCACCTATTCGCGGCTCACATAAAAATATTTACCGTATAGCATTTTACGGGGAGATTTCACAATTATTGTCCACCTATTCGCGCCTCACATAAAAATATTTACCGTATAGCATTGTACGGGGAGATTTCACACTCGTTGTCCACCTATTCGCGCCTAAGATAAAAATATTTACCGTATAGCATTTTACAGGGAGATTTCACAATTTTCGTCCACGAATTCTTCGTTTCAGAAAAATATTTACCGTATTTTAAAGTTACAGGGAGTTTGCACACTCAAAATCGGTTTTGCGGCTTACTCAAAAATATTTACCGTGTACACACTAAATGGTTTTTTCCCCAACAAACCTTATTATTAAAATGAAATAATTATTTAAAGTACAGAACACAAATTATGTAATAATAGATTTTTTTATTGATATAAACGAATTCTTAAATATATTTACACAAGTTTTTTTACTTAAATTATTCAAAATTTGTGAAATCTCCCTGTAAAATGCTATACGGTAAATATTTTTGTGTGAGGCGTGAATAGGTGGACAACGAGTGTGAAATCTCCCCGTAAAATGCTATACGGTAAATATTTTTGTGTGAGCGGCGAATAGGTGGACAACGAGTGTGAAATCTCCCAGTGATTTTCACCGCGGTAAAATAATTGTGTTCAAGCGGGACATCCTGCCTTGAACGTTGTGAAATTACCGTGGTGAAAAAAAATAGACTGTGAACATACAAATGTTTTTTTAGCTATTTTAAATCACGATTATTATTTCTTAAATCGATTTTTATACAGGTTTTATACTTTATATATCTATACCTCCCTATCTAATTTATAATCATTAACTGCAATGATGTAGGTATAGATAGTTGTTATAGGCAAACATAAATATTTTGGGTAGATATATAATATATTATCATACACTAAATAGGTAGTTACGTAAAAAATATTAAATTTGTTCCCGGACTTAAAAAAAAATATTTATACCATTATACCTATCATCATTGAGTATACGTACCTATATTGTACAACAATATATATTATACTCAATGGTATCATTAATATTATTTCACCTAATGTTAGAATAATCCAGGGGTTGGCGTTCTAGAACTCATAGAATGGATAAAAGTTACCTATCTTGGTTCTGTATCGCAATAACATTTATAGTATTAGGTCGAAGAATCGTAGATCTATATTGATTATTGGTTAAATACCTAACAAATAACTTTTAAATATTCACAAATAACGCGAACGATTTTATTTTAAAATCATATTTTTTCAAACAAGCATACATCAACACCTATCATACATAAATCATACACATTATACCTATAGTTATTAAATAATTGCAACAAAAGAATTATAAAATTCGTAGGAGGTAGTGTTTTGGTAAGGGGTATAGGTATATTATAGGTACATATAGATAGGTACCGGTACTTACGTAGTTTTTTGAGAATTTTTAAAATTAGATACTCAGTTTTATCGATCAGCTGTCTACGATATTTTTAAATATCGGTAAATCATATACGCATGGAGAAATTAAAGTTATATACTTATTAGTTATTTAGTTATATCTATTAAAGCTTTTTGGCAGAAATTAGCATAAATATGAAATTTTAATAAAATTCTTTTTTACATAATATATAAAACCCAGATTTAAGTAATTTAATCCCAAAACTATGATATTTAACTGCAATGCATCAAAGGATCATTTTAACCTCAATGTGTTGAAGAGTTTCAGACAAAACTTTGGGGACTGGACTCGAATTAGTACGTCACTAGTACCCCCCCCCCCGTAGGATATGCCAATAACTTTTGAAGGAGTAGAGCACTAACTACCGGATGAATAACACACTGAAGGACTAACGAAGCATAAACGAATAAAAGATTTTTGGACCCAAAATTCGAAATCTAAATTAGCATGTCCTTAGAACCCCCTGTAGGAAATTCAAATACAATTTAAGGGATGGAGCACTAACGACGGGATAAGAAGCACTAACGTGCACTAACGAAGCACAAACGAATGAAATTTGTTTGGGCCTGAAATTCGAAATGGGGGGTGCAGGCATGTCCCCAGCACCCCCCTGTACGAAATGCGAATAACTTTGGAACGGATAAAGCACTAACGACGGGATGAGAAGCACTAACATGCACTAACGAAGCACAAACGAATGAAATTTGTTTGGGCCCGAAATTCGAAATGGGGGGTGCAGGCATGTCTCCAGCACCCCCCTGTACGAAATGCGAATAACTATGGATCGGATAAAGCACTAACGACGGGATAAAAAGCACTAACGTGCACTAACGAAGCACAAACGATCGCCCTGGGTTTGGGCCCGAAATTCGAAATGGGGGGTGCAGGCATGTCCCCGGCACCCCCCTGTACGAAATGCGAATAACTTTGGAATGGATAAAGCACTAACGACGGGATAAAAAGCACTAACGTGCACTAACGAAGCACAAATGATCGCCCCGGGTTTGGACCCAAAAATCGCAATGGGGGGTGCCGGGGACATGGACCTGTATGATAGCTGTGTTATCAATTGTTCATACAACATACATATAGTCATTGTTAAGCACAAGTGAATGTAAGCCATAAGCACATGTTAAGTTACAATAAATAAGTTACAATTAATAAATAATACGTTAGTGCATAACATAAAACATGGCGCAGTCGAATGGTCAAGTAGTTCCTGCTCCGTCGCCACTAGATATTAGTGAACCAAGTATGGTAATACGTAATTTAAGGTTATTTAAGTCAAAATTTCAACTTTATTTATTGGCCAATGACTTAGAGGAAAAGTCAGATAAACTCAAAGTTGCAATACTTTTAAGTGTAATTGGTGATGAAGCATATGAGTTTTTAGAATCTATCAATATTACTAGTGATAATAATCCTGGCTGTGTTAAAAAAATATTTCATGAAATACAACAGTATTATGAACCTAAGGGTAATGTAATAATTGAACAATTAAAATTTTTCCGTCGTTATCAGGAAGAAGGGGAAGCGTTTGACAAATTTTTAAGAGACATACGCAATCTAGCCAAACGCTGTGAGTTTGGTAACCTGGAAGAGAATATGGTACGAATCAGGCTAGTACTGGGTGTCAAAGACTTGGGTCTACAAGAAAGACTCCTAAGAGCACCAGATCTTAGTCTTGAGAAAACTATAGATCATTGTAAATCCGCAGAATTGGTTCGATATCAACAGCACTTATTAACTGATAATGGAGGATTAGTTGAAGAGAAAAATGTTCAAAAAATTTATGGCGATAAATCGAATAATCTTAAAATTGGAGGAAGCAGTCAAACTCAGCACAAGTAGAGAAGCTGTCAACATCAGATACTGACCAGTATAACTGTAAGAAATGTGGGTATAAACATGGACCAAGAAGCTGTCCGGCATATGGAAAGAATTGTGTCAATTGTGGAAGACCCAATCATTTTAAAGTGGGATGTAGAGTTAATAATCAACATAAGGTATTGAATATTGGTGAATATTATGAAAAAAATAATGTTAATAGTGAGCCTGAGCATAACTTATTTGATATTTGTTCGGTAATAGTGTCAAATGTAAGTGAACAGTGTCCTTACCCTAATAATGTGAATGGATGGTTTAAAAATATATTAATTAATAAATATGATGTACAATTTAACTTAGACACTGGTTCGGACATTGATATATTACCTTTAAGTCTGTTTAATAATATCAAAAAGATTGAAATCGTTGAAAAAATTAATTATAAGATTCAAGCATATGGGGGATATGTTATTAAATTTGTTGGGGCTGTAAAAATGAATTGTTTGATTTCCAATCAAAATGTTAAGCTCAAGTTTGTTATTGTTGATGATAAAATTCAAAATAAATGTATACCTATTTTAGGACTTGACACATGTGTTAAGTTTGGTTTGGTTGGTAAAATAGAAGTTAATAGTATTAATAGTAATGATGTGAAGAAACAGTTTGTTAGAGAGTATAAAGATGTGTTTGAAGGTTTAGGAATTTTTTCAGAGGAGTATGATATTAAAATTAGAGAGAATAGTGAAGGTTGGATTAATCCACCAAGGAGGGTACCAGAATCAATAAAGGGTGAACTTAAAAAAACACTAGATATCATGACTAAGGATGGTGTAATAGTACCTGTAGATAGACCAGGTATATGGTCTAGTAATATTGTTATTGTTGAAAAGCCCAATAAAAAATTGCGGATCTGTTTAGATCCATCAGAATTAAATAAAGTCATAATTCGAGAACATCATTTAATACCAACAATGGATGAGATTAGAATGAGCTTAAGTAATAAAAAGTGGTACTCATTGTTAGATCTTAAAAATGGGTTTTGGCAAATTAAGCTGTCTAAAGAGTCCAGCAATATATGTTGCTTTAGTACGCCTTTTGGATATTATAAATTTACTAGGCTTCCATTTGGGCTGTCATGTGCACCTGAAGAGTTCCAAAAACAGAATCAAAAGTGTTTTGGGGATATTGAAAATATAAAAATTTATTTTGATGACATATTAATTGCTGCTGAGGATGAAAGAACACATGATATAGCGGTAAAGTCTGTATTGCAAAGGGCAAAGTCTGTTGGAATAAAATTTAATGCAGACAAGTTTATCTATAAAAAGAAAGAAATCAATTATTTAGGTATGATTTTTAGTATGGAGGGAATGAAAGTTGATCCGGACCGAGTTGAGGCGATTAATAGTTTAAAAGAACCTAAAAATAAAGTAGAACTACAACGAATCATAGGAATGTTCAATTTCCTTAGGCAATTTATACCAAACATGTCACAATTGATTGCTCCCATAAGAGAGTTGTTAAAGAAAAATGTGCACTGGACATGGACTAACATTCATAGTGAAGTTATAAGACAAGTGAAACACATAATTACTAACTCACCTGTCCTTGTTAATTTTGATCCAAAAAAGGAAATAAGTATTCAATGTGATAGCTCTAGTAGTGGACTAGGTTGCTGCTTAATGCAAGAAGGAAAGCCAGTAGCATTTTCCTCTAGGAGTTTAACAGATTCAGAAAAACAGTACCCACAAATTGACAAATGTTAAGTATTTTGTTTTCGTGTCGCAAATTTCATAATTATATTTATGGATATCATACAAAAATTTGGACGGATCATTCACCATTAACATCAATTTATAAAAAAAATTTTCATAAAGTTATATCAAATAGATTACAAAAAATGAAACTCAAGCTATTGATCTATGATTTAGAAATTAATTATTGACCAGGCAAAGAAATGCATATTGCAGATCTGTTGTCGAGAAATTATATTAATAATGAATTTGACAAGGAAATTAATATTGAAGGAGTAGTACATTCAATTAATAATACTATAAATGTTTCGAAAATAGCTGAGGCCACAAAGCATGACCTAGTTCTAGTGAAAATTTTAGAATACTATAATGAAGGTTGGCCAAAGGATAAAAATAAGATTAGTGGCGATATTCAACATTATTGGAGTCTTCGTAATGATATTGTTGTTGAAAAAAAGTTCTTTATGTTAAAAATAAAATTATTATGCCTTACAGCCTGAGACGGTTAGCATTACAGCAGTTACATGGAGGACATAATGGTGTGAATAAAACTGTACTTAGAGCTAAGCAGTTAGTGTACTGGCCTGGGTTGGATAATGAAATAAAACAATATGTGTTGAGTTGCAAAATTTGTGATAGGTTTAAAAATTCTAATACAAAAGAGCCATTACAGCATCACCAAGTGGCTAAACTACCTTTTGAAATTATAAGTTCTGACATATTGACTTATGGTGGTAAAGACTATGTTGTTGTATTTGATCATTATTCAAAATGGCTAGAAATAATCAAAATAAATTTTAAAACAGCTCAAGAAGTTATACAACAGTTAAAAAAGATCTTCAGTACACATGGGTATCCACAAATAATATATTCTGATAATCAACCTTATAGCTCTGATGTATTTAAGCAATTTTGTGTAATGTATAATATAAATTTACTAACGTCTAGTCCTAGATACCCTCAATCTAATGGGACGGCAGAAAGAGCAGTACAAACTGCCAAACAAATGCTTAGGAAAGCTGATTTTGAAAAAAAAGAAATACTAGACATTTTGCTTGAGTATAGGTGTACAACTTTACCACAGATCGGAGCTTCACCTTGTGAGTTAGTCATGAGTAGACTATTAAAAACTAAGTTTCCAGTAAATGAGAATACTTTAAAACCTAAAATTCAAGTTAATGATGAAAACAGAATGTTAAACTATCAAGCCAACTATAAAGAATATTATGATAAAAGAACTAAATCCAAAGATGAGTTTAATGCAAATGATGATGTGGTTGTAAATGATGGAAGAGTATGGTTACCTTGTAAAGTTTTAAGTAAATTAGATAATATCCAAGGTCATATGTAGTCAAGCTACAAAATGGGCAAATAGTCAGGCGTACATCATATCATTTACGTCACACGAAGGGACAACACTATGTTGAAAATTATGAAGACAATGATGATATAATATTAGGAGTAAGTAGTAATGAAGAAGTGGTGAATGAGAAAAAAATTAAAGATAGTCAAAGTAATGAAGAAGTGGTGAGTAAGGGATCGAATGGTGAAATAACAAAAACAAAAGTTGGAAGAGTAGTTAAAATACCAACCAAGCTAGATATTTATGATCTCAGTAATTAACTAAGTTTTGTTTTTATATAGTTTGTCTAACTTTTAATGTTGTATTATTAATTGTTATTTATTAATGTAATTATTTTTATTACTATCATTTATATTATTATTTATTAATGTAATTATTTTTATTACTATAATTTATATTATTACTTATTAATGTAATTATTGTGCAAAACAACTGCTAATGTATCTGTTGTATCTTAAAGGGAAGGATGTTGTATGATAGCTGTGTTATCAATTGTTCATACAACATACATATAGTCATTGTTAAGCACAAGTGAATGTAAGCCATAAGCACGTGTTAAGTTACAATAAATAAGTTACAATTAATAAATAATACGTTAGTGTATAACATAAAACAGGAGGTAGACAACGTGACGACCGGTTCGAGTCATCGGCTATATAATTTACGTGAAAATATGTTTTGGGGTCTAGCAGGTCAGTCACCTTCCTCGATGTTGTTCATATTTTTGTGGGTGTCTAGGAGGTCATTCACCTCGAATGACGTTCGCCGTAGTAATACAGGTAGGCTATGCGACTTCGTTGGATAGCGGACAATGTGTGACGGCAGCGGGTCACGTCATCACGTATGCAATCCGACTGCGTCGAATCGCGGACACCGTTCATTACTGTCACCGAAAACGCATAATTAAAGAAAGAATAAATTAAGTGAAGAAAATTCAAAATATTTCGGTTGTCCATGCAAATCATATAGCCACCGTCTAAATTTATTGGTGTCTAGAAGGTCACCCATCTATGTTATCCGGGTAGGCAACGTGCGGCCGGGACAGCGTCCATTACAGTCACCGACAACGCAAAATTAAGTTATGAATTATGTGAAAAAAATTCAAAACATTTCGTAAGCAATCCGATTTATTTATTATTAGTAATAATTAGTTATTACCTACTTACACCACAGATGAAATATCTATTGGATTTTGGAACCAAAAAAAACCGAAAAAACCTCTCCATCAAAATATAGGTTTCGGTTTCTTTCCTTAAAATAATGTATTAAATTGTTTCGGTCCTAAGATTTTCAAAAGGTTACGGTCCAAAACCGGTCAATTTTGGTACGGTGCCAGTCCCTGTTATGAACTAATAAATGCATACTTATCAATATAATATTACAGTTGTCATTTAAGTTAATTGGCTGAGGCAATCAAATAGCCACTTTCTTATTTTGGTAATTAATAATTTAATGTAGCATACAAATACTGTTTCTATATAATATAAATTATTATATTAATAAATAAAAAGATCTTTATATATTTAAGTAAAGTTTGTAGGTAGTAAAGTTACTTAATAATTGTATAATATTTTCTATACTATTTGATATTACTTACATACATAGTTGTACTTAAAATGTATATTTATTTAATTATGAGAATTGAATCAAATTAATAAATAGGTCATTTTATTGATGAATAGAAAATTTGATATGACCCGGCACAAGTAACTTGTGCGTCGTTGGAGCACTTGTTCCGCGTGCGTGTTCGTTTTTTTGCGAGGTCACCAATGTGGCGCGCGTAGGTTTCAAGTGATGTTCACGCAACTTACGCGGCCAACATAAACAGGGGGAATGAAATAAATACACTCGGGTTGGTTTTACGAGTAGACGGTATATTATTGTAAGTCAGATGTGAGTAAACAGTT